TTATTTTTTATATTCTACCACCTCGTCTGGGATAAAACAAAGGATAAAATTTTTAGTGTGAATTAAAAATACCATTAAGTGTGCTTATGTATACAGTAGACTAGGATAACTCCTTTGAAGAAATCACTACCTAACGAACTGATTATATAAATTTTGATAAAATAACAAAATATGTATTTACCCAGTAGAGCTACCAGTAGGAGCTATTCTGCTCTACAGATAAATACATACTCACCAGAGATATTAGAACTGCAAGAATCATTCTGAGTCTCTAAGGCGTTAATTTACATTTTTTGCTTGCATATTGCTTTTATAGTAAAAATTTACTATTTCTGAAAGGGAAAAATGGACCAATACTGCAATCAATTTTTAATGGCTTGTAATAAGCAAGGCTGCATATTCAAACTTCAGTTAATATTGATGCTTTATGAAAACAATTGTGAAACTATTTTTAAATGGTCAAGAATGCATAAATTGTGTTTGAATAATTAGGTACCTCTGCTAATTTAAATTCAAACTACTCATTAGTAAAATGAAATCTATCTGGTAATTTAAATGCAAAAAATGAAGTATAAAGAGTTATCAATACTTTCTATAGTAGTTATGTCTTTAAGATATTAGCAGCAAATTTTTTTAAAAAAGAACATTAAGTTTGACTCATATAAGTAAATATAGCTATAGTTAGTTACTATAATAATATACATCATAGTCTATTTTTATAGTCAAACGTAGAAAGGTTTCTTCCAAATAAAAGAGAAATTAATTAGTCATTCAAGCAAATACATAAGAAAGCACTCCAAACAAAAGAGATTCAAGTGGTCAAGTCAGTCAATCAGCAAAAATGTAGTGAAAATAAGAAAAGCACAGTCATTTTCGCAACAGTAGCAATACTGAATAAAGTCTAATATTTAGTTAAATAGTTTGGGGATGTTTGTCTATAAATAGCTGTATCATCTAATATTGACATTTTATGTAGAAATATTCTAAATGGTCACATTTCATAGAGTATTAATTATATAAATAATGGTAAGTACAGTAATGCATTTCTAAGTATAAAAAATAAACCCTTTTAATCCTATGTGGATTGAAATAAAGAGTTAATAGTATTTACAACTGGTGATATTACAAAAAGAATATTTTCAATAAAAGGAGAAATTTTCATTGTAAATGCAGGAATTGTCCACCCTCTTCTCTGTCTTCTGTAAGGAAATAAAATCTTCTTACCTGTCACCCTACACCCAAGATTTTTGTCTACCTCAAAAAAAAAAAAAAAAAGCTTAAAATTAAAGAGTCAACCCTTTACCCCCTTTCATGGTTTATAAAGCAAAAAGCCAAAACTCTTCATGGCCTCTTCTCCTTCCAACCACCTAAGATTCAAATAAGGGTGATTGCTCTCTTTTTTTGTTCAGTAGTGTCCTGGTGAGGGAATGATTTTACTGTCCTTTTTCTGTGGGATCCTGCCGGTTTATCTAAAAGGAAATGAATTATAACAGAATGACAAGGCCACAAAACAAAGCCATTTAGTTTTACAAATCTATTATGTCCTCCAATCTGTTTTATGGGCCTGGTCCTATTATAAACTAAGAAAAACCCTAAAACAAACTCTTTTTTCCTTTCTTTCCATTGAAAACATCTACAATTTTATGACTGTTTAACACTTTAGCCTAAATTTTTTTCCGCTCTGTGTGTGTATGTGTATGTGTGTGTTTTTCCCCCAAGAGTCCTTCCACCCCACCTTCTCAAACATAAAAAACATTCAGAGACAAGAAACTGGACTTTTCAAATACAAACTGCTGACAACTGTCAGAAGCACTTTACTGGGACATTACTGACTGTAGCTTCAATGAATTAAGCTTGATTCACTGCGGGTGAATCATTTTCAATGCAGAGCTGTTCAGCAGTAATTGGCCAAGAATCCCTGCTGCGAAAAGCACTTGTCAAATAATGCTTGTTTACAAATATATCTCCAGACAGCAAAAAGTGGCAGTTACTGAATAAGTTCAGGGCCACCTCCAATATTCATAACAGTGGACATGCTCTCTTTACTTATTAAATCTATTAACATTTTCACTTGTTGATATACTTGCTAATGCTTGTCCTGCTTGATCAATCTCAGAGATAAGTTGCTAAATATGCCTCTGAATTATTTTATAATAGAAGTATTTTGTATTAGACTGTAGTTCAAAGGTTTCTTCCAAATGTAATTTATGCCTAATGTATGTAAAGAGACAACTAAAGATATATTTATCTTATCTTAGAATTGAATCTAAAGAGTACATTTTCCTCTTTATTGTCTTTTATCCAACATATCCTAACATTCATTCCATCTCAATTTAAGATTCCAGATATATATTTGGCTTTTCCTGTTCAGTTCTGCTTTACTTAAGTCTACAAAAGTTAAATTTTAAAAATGACTAGAATACAAATTATGAATGTAAAGTCACATTTATGTCTATCTGCCTTGAATTTTTTTCTCACATAATGGGACCATTCATATTATACACACACACACATATATATATATATATACATATGCACGCACATACACTATAGTCTGTGAAATCACTAAGTATCTATAGGTTGCAGAAGGCAAAATATATGAGAGCAAGTTATTAATGGATGCAGTGCATACATCAAATCTTTCTGCCCCTGATCTTCCAAAGAACTTCCAGAAATAATCAAAAACAAACTTAAAAACTCCAATTGGAATCTTTAAATAAATAAATAAACTCCTGTTATTAGTATCTTAATATATTATTGCTTGATTTATAATAACACATGGAGAAACAAAAAGGAGAGCTATGGTCTGAGATGATACTTATGGAAAGATGGAAAACTGTTAGGTAGAGATGGAATGAATGAGGTGAAGTCATACATATTAAGACGATTTTATTTCCTACTGTGTTTAATAGTGATAGATCTCTGCAATCCTCACCTCCCTACAACCCAAGTTTTGCTGTGTGTTCGACTAGCTGGCGTAAAGACAATACAACCTGTGGTTGTTCGGTCTGTGATATCAACCAGTCTACCTTCCAGAAGATTTGAGCTCTGCTTACATCACCTTAAGAGACCGGTGCTATTTCCTAGCTTCCCTCCAAATCCCTCTGCCTCTTCCTCCCTGGCGCAGTCTTGGCCCTTGTATACCCTGAATGGGTATTCAGCATCACCCTCCCTGAGATTTCATTTTTTCCCCTTCTCTAACCAAGAGCCCCTACTCCCTTTCATCTGTACATAAACCACTTGCCTCATCACACCTGGGGGAAAAAAAAAAGAAATATAATGGGAACAGGAAAGGATGAATGACATTACTGTTACTCTTTAAATCCAAACCAGGATGCCCCTTCCGATGGAATAAGACAGTTAATAAAAGGATTCCAAACCCTGTCGTAATCCTCCGGACTTCTAACATAATGACTCTAACATGAGAGGTTAATAAAAGGACTACCACTTAAAACACTTTTTCAACTTTATCGGGAAGGGGAAAAGATGCAGATTGTTTGGGTTAAGCATGGGAGACTGCCATAGCTAGATAACTAGACAGAGTGAGCTACACAGAATCCTTAAATCAGATTTAAAACAATAAATGTAAGGATTAAAGAGAGAAGTTCATGGGGTGGGGCAGGGATTCTCGATCCGCCCTGCTTTCACAAGGTTCCTAGGGGGCTGGCAGGGCTCCTAAACCAGCTCAGCGCCTTCTCCTACAGCCACACAACCCGCGCAAGTCACGAGGACACACACGACCCCGAAGGCTGCTGCTTCATCTTTCCGGTCCAGCGTCCCCTGCCCTAGGTGTGGAAGGGATTTTTTTAAGGTTCTGTGCCTCACCCGTGGTTTGCGGAGCCTCAAATCGAAACCCCAGTATTCCAGCCAGGGGGAGGGTCTTTGATGTTTGCGCGGTGGAGCTGAACGCTTCTCGCAGCCCAGATCTGGATCTGAGATGCTACACCTCCCACCCCCATTCTAGAGGAATGAGCCTTTGAGCTGAGACCCAGCGCGGGCGGGGTGTGAGAGGAGCAAGCGCGGCTGGAGCAGATAGAGGGCCGAGGGCGGCCAGGCGAACGGTGGCGGGCCCGGGGGGCTGAGCACAGCTCCGGAAGCAGCGAGCGCCGCACAGGTGCTGTTCCCGCGGAGCCGACTCTACTCGCCCAGCGGCAGGCGGAGACAGCCTTCAGGGTCCGGAGCGCAGGATTGGGGGTGGGGAGGAGGGTTAGGAACTCCAAGATCCGGTGCCGGCGGGAGCGGGGCTTTTCCCTCACGCAAACACCGAGACACAAGCCCGGGTGGGTTTGAGCAGCAACTTCCTGGCAGCGACACTCCACCCCCCTTCCGCCTCATCCCACCCTCCCGCCTTCTTCCACTTTCGCCTCAGTGTGATTATGAGCCCCCAAAGTGAAGGGCACCCCACAGTGTGGGGCGCCTTCTGTCCTTCGCCATTCCCCTCCCTCGAGAAATAACAGCTCTTGCCACCCACCCCAGAATAGCAGCTGGCGATGCCCTAAATAACAGCTTCCAGAAGGCACTTCCCCCCAAAATAAAATCAGTCAGCCACCCTCACAATATTTCCCATCACCGGCCTCAAATAACGGTTTCTAAAAGCCCACCGCTCCCGAGATCGTTGTTGCTGAGCTTCAGACAGTTCCCACTCCTTCAAGCCCCAAATGTCACTTCCCCACGCGCTTCAAGTGAGAACCTGCCGCACCCAACCTTCTGGCGCGGGTCTCAGACCTCTCTTTCCTCCCCGCTTGCAACTTCCCAGCCCCCCAACCAGCCTCGGTCCACACGCAGGTTCCTCGCCCACCGCTCCGCACCTAATGTAAAACAATGCAACCAGACACAGCAGAGGGGAGCGAAACAGCTGGCGAAAGCGGACAAATGTTAATTCGTGATGCGAGGTGAGATTTCGTCCGCGGCAGCAGCGTCCAGAGCGCCCGCACCCGCACTTCCAGGCCCCGCCTCGCCCCTCCGCCCCAGGTCGCTGCGGTCCCCACCCCCAACACTACCTTCGTTGCTGGGGCTGGCCAGGAGGGTCCGTAGCGCGGCGCACAGAAGAAGGCACGTCCAGAGGGGGGCCCTGCGAGGTGCGGAATAGCAGCCGGCCAGAGACGCAGGGGTGCTGGGGGTGTCGCCGTCGCCGCCGCCCGGGGGCCTCCGGCGTCCCGCACCCGGGGGCCCCGAGCCCCGCATCTTCTCCTAGCTGCCTCCGCCGCTGCTGTCCCGCGCGGCTCAGTCCACCGCCCCGGCCTCGGGGAAGGGGCGAGGGAGGCTCGCGGTTCCTCCGCGTTCCCCGTGGAGTCCCTTGGCTTCTGGCACGCGGCTCTTCCAAATGCGAGAACCGCGGATCCTCTGAGACGGCCGAAGTTTGCTTCCGGCTCCTGTCTCCCTTCTCTTCAGTGGGCTTAATTTAAATACTAGTTATGGCTGATAGTGCAGTTCTGGACTGGACTCAAGGGTGTCGAGAAGGTCCCGCGTCCTGTTTCTCTGTCTCTTAAGACTTTTAAGGATTGAGGTCTTTAAAATGCCCCTGAGGGGAAAATAAAGGTTCCTTTTCAGTCTTCAGGGCTGAAATGATGAAGGTAAGGGAGACAAGTCATCTTAAGTCAAGAAAAATCCTCAATAAAAAGAGGAGAAAAAGACAGGGTGGCTAAGGATAAAGGAAAGGAGTTGAGAAAATACAGGGTGGAGAAAATACGAGAGGCGAGCAAAGGAAAAGATCCAGAGAGTTCAGAGGCTGGCAGAAGGAAAGAGCTGCGGGCTGAGTGCTGACGAGGGGAGGTACTGGCGGCTGCGAGCGGGCAGGAGCGCGGAGCCCGGCGGCGGCAGCCCGGAGCTGCTGTGGTTCCCGCTGCTCGGGGAGGAGGTGGTGTGCGCGCGGCTGGGAGGACGAGGTTGAAACTGCACCGCCACGGCGCGCTCCTGCTGTGTCTGGAGCTCCGACGTCTCCTCTGCCTCCCGGCTCTGTACCTCCCACCCTCCTCCCTCCTCCTCTTCCCAGCTCCCCCGCCCTCTTGCTGCTCGCAGCCTCGCCAGTGAGAATCTACTGTAAGTGTGAGTTGCTTAGACGAAGTCACACACTCGCGGAGGGAACTAATCTGAAGGCTGCCGTGGTGAGTGTTGCCTAGCGGTCTCCGGGAAAGGCGCGTCTTCCTCCCCGGATAATTAGGGCGAAGAATTCTCTTGACGGTGCCTGCGAACACCGGGGCTCCCGGGAGGCGGAAGGGAAATCAGCCTTAGGCTCAGCAGGCAGCCCTTGGAGAAGCGGGTCCTTTGGTTTGGCATGTTGCCTGCTGCCCATCGCAGGCTTGTGGCATCAACAACCTTGTCGTCACATAGCCACGCATTCGCAGGCTGTGCTGGTCCGTGGCTAGTTTCTTAAACACCCATATCGCTCATTGCTGTTCACCCTTTCTATTCTTCCAATACTTTGTCAGCTGGGATGGGATAATTAGGCAACATTTCCTTCAGAAGTAAATTGTAGAATTTCTGAATATAGACACCGTGACTCTAATTGAAATTTCAGAGAGTCAAAGAATTTGACTTACTGAGATTTGTAGTGTGCCAGGTACTTTACGATGTGATAATTTAATTCATTAATGTCATTGATAGAATGTGTTAGAACTTTAGAAATTATAAGATATGTAGCTATATGCAATTAATTCCTGTGAAATTAGCATGAGTCAAATAATTTCAGGGTTTAAAAAATATTTTAATTTCGTGTTTTCTACTGCACTGAAAGACAAATTAATTACAAAAAAAACTGTTTAAAACAATTGACTTTCTGTGCTCCACCTCTATTATGTATTCTCTTGCTTTATTATTTTTTTCTTTAATTTTCTCATTCATTCTTTCAAAGAGATACATCTGAAGGGCAATTGTAGTAAATACTGCAAATAAAGCATGTACGAAAAGTGAGTTTAGAAGAAAGGTATCTTGTTTAATTTGTTGTATAGTAACTACTGGGAAGATTGGGTTTGCATTCACACCTAATGAAGGGGAGTCTGCTCACTAGCTTTGACATCTAGAGCCCTGTTTGTCTTCACAATAAATTTCTCATCATCTTTAGCTGATGACATTTGTTTTCTGTTTAAATATTTGCAATAAAGATGAAAGAATAAAGAAGCAGTGATGCAATTTTATAAAGAGGTGGAAGCAAATCTTTGATTTTTTTTTCCCAAAATGTTTTGGCACCAGAAATCTAAAAGCAGCTTCTTTCTATTATAATGTGCTTCAAATGCATGAAGCAAATTTAAAGAAATGGCAGTGAATCAGCCTTTCAGTTTGGCAAAAATCCTGATGCAAAGTTGAATTTCATATTTCTATTTGAAGACCATTCAAAATGTGAACTCCTCCCTCCAAATTATAGTTGAATTACTTAAAAATATTTGAACAGAATATCAACTAAGTTATCTAAAGCCTAGGGATACGTAATAATGCTACTATGGAACATAGGCAGTTTAATGGGACTTTGAGCTTGTTATATTACTTCTGTAGGTCTCAGTATCCTCATCAATAAAATGATTTGGAGAAAAAGATCTTCAAGTTCCTTTTCCTTCCATATCCTTTGTATTTCTATGTTACTACCCTGCTCACCTATCTCCAATTATTTACTATTGACTACAAAATTATTCAATTTCTTCAGCCTAACATTGAAAGTATTCTACTACAAAGATCTTAAATAAATTTTCTATTTCACTTTACCTTAAAATTTGAAAATCAGTGTTCCCTAAATTGCCTCATACCTCTTTGTTTTTATGCCTGGTACTCCATCCCACAGAAGATTCACCCCCTAAAAATATTTAACACTTTCCCTCCCATACACACTCACACATACACATCTCTCATCTAAAATCCTACCCAGTGTCCAAAGAGTATAAGCATTCAAGACTGATCTTTTCACAAAAAGAAGTGATTGATTCTCCTTCTCCAAGTACCCATAGCTTATGATTTATGTCAATCAACACAATGGCAATATTTTCTGAATGAAAAACTGGAACAAATTATCTAACAACTATAAGTTTATATATTGGGATGAAAGAAATTTAAACTGGGCATGTCAAAGAAAACTTGGGACACTATTCACTATGGTGGGTGATTATCTCCTACCCAAGATAGTTAACTCCTCCTTAAGTGATTAAGACTACAGAAAGCCAACTCCTTAATTTTCTTCATCTTAAATAGCAGCCATCTTTCTCATGGTTATTTAATAACATTTGTCATATATCCTTGAAAGAAAGAACAGCTGTAAAATGGAGCCCCAGATACAGCAATGAAAGAGTTAACCAAGTCAATGATGATGGTTTGATTTCCGCCTCACTCTCACAAGAGATCTTATATCTGGTCTTGTGTTGTTTTCTTGGAATGTAAATACTCTCTTAGCATACTGACATCGGACCACAGTATTGCATGAAAACTAGATTTGTCTTTTTCCTTCATACTTACTGCCTTACACCAGAAAAGACTAAAACATCACTAAGGGCTTGGAAGTCCTATTGTTTTCATTTCTCTTGCTTGGGATAACTGCTATGGCCTCAAAAGGTGAAAGTGGCTGATGTCTCCCTAGATTTCACCTCGGATTTGGCTTTTTACTAAGCTTTCATAGGGAAAAGAAATTCAGAATCACCTTGATAAGACACCTTGAAAGGTTACTACCCTATAAAAGTTATTATAATTAAGTTCAATGTATTAATAATCCTGAATATCTTCACTGAATTCAAAGTAGAACAACAAAAGCAATTATACTAAGCAGAATTGCTAGTAATTACTGAAAATTTGCTATGTGTGAAGCATTATATGATATTTTACATTAATTATTTTGCTTAATGCTGACATTTCAACCACATTGTTGGCATAATTATTAGCCCCATGTTAATGATGAGAAGACTGAGGAAATGAGGTTAGGCAACCTGAGTAGACCCACAGTCTCACAGCTAGTAAGACATGGCAATTTTAATCCATGGCTCTCTCTGTGTGTAAGAAAATTGTAATGTAACAGAAGTAAAGAAAAAATTTGATAACCAGTCATTCAAAAAAAAAAAGAGAGAGAGAGAGAGGACTGCCCCCAAATTCTGCATTAATGGGAACAATAAAAAAAATTAGTCTAATCTTTAGGTTTATTTAAATCCAAAAGCAGCTAGGCAAATAATATAATACAGGTCAGATAAATGACTAGGAGAAAAGAAGAAACAAGGGAGCCTATATAAGCATTATTTGGAGAAAAAGTTTGTCTCATATAAACAAAACATGCATACAATTTGTGTACAATGGAGAGACAATGGGCCAAATCAAGAAAATAGTGAGGTGGTTAGATAGATAATATTAGCACAAACAGATTGCTCAAAACCCATTAAACATAGAAATGGGTAGAAAAGGGTAGAAAACATAAGCAACAATCTTTACAAAAATAATCTAAATAGGGGCGCCTGGGTGGCTCAGTTGGCAAAGTGTCTGCCTTCAGGTCAGGTCATGATCTCTGAGCCCTGGGATTGAGCCCTGAGTTAGGCTTTCTGCTCAGCTCCCTGTTTCACCCTCTGCCTCTGCTCCTCCCCCCACTTGTGCATGCTCTCTCTCTCAAATAAATAAAATCTTTAAAAAAAATCTAAATAAAACTTCAGAAACCAAAGAGCATTTTTTCCTAAAATATTATGTAGATTGGCAATTTTTTACATAATTGTTTTAAATGTTTTTGTCACTTAGCTATATGCTCTCTTTGGGGAATTTTGGGGGAAAAGCAAAAGCAAAGCAAAATTTTAACCCATGGTAGATTTTACATATGAAATTACAGGATAGCTAATGAAACTATAAGATACACTAATGAAGTTAATTTTTCAAGTCCATGATTTCCTGAAGAGGATACATATATGGTGATGTTAATTATTTTGACCCCACAGGAAAAGGCTGACTAAAATATATTTAAGCAATCAATAGCTCTTAAAGTTCACAACCAAGAAAATGCTAATGTATTCATTATTTTATGTTGCATTTTAATGTAATTAACATAAAACAGATAATATTTTAATTTTTGTTCATAGTTATCTTAAGAAGTTTTCTGAAGTCCTCGAGTCACTTCTCCCTACTAATGACCCACATTTTTACTATTGATGTTAAATTTAATTATATTTCAATTTAATTGATTGAGTGATTTAAAAAATAAGGAATAAATAGTTTTTAATAAATTAATAAGGGTTTAATTATATAAATTATTTTATTACTTAGCAATACATTAAAATATTCTAATGAAAACAAAAGTTTAAGAAAAAAACAACTTGTTAAGGCAGTGAAGCCATCATGTTTGATGCTGTCATGGTGGAATATGATATTATATATTTGTCAAAATGCATAACATGTACAACACCAAGACTGAAACCTAATGTAAACTAT